TTCCCTTTGAACAGAATGGAGTAACTAATAAGAATTTCATAAAAAATTGAATTCTTGGGAAAGGGCTATAACTCAACAACGAGAAAAGCTAAAATCGTGAAAATTGAACTTGACCTTCATTTAGTCACAGGAAAAAACATATCTAAATTTGAAAAAATTTCATAAAAGCATTTTCATGTTAATGAACGGACACTGTTTGGCAGCCACCCGCCCGCCCACCTGCCGTACATCCCCCAAATCAATAACCGATTTTTCCTTCGAAAATTACGGTTCAAAATAATTTTACTGTTACCGTCAATTTCCGTAAGAAAGTGGGTCCCTTTCCGGAAATACATTTCGGCCATTAGTCTCGGCAGTAACAATAATTATTTCTTGTTGTTACTTTTTGCAGGTAACTGTAGCCAGTGCCTATCTCACTGTACAAATCCTTGCTCCAAAGGATAGTTGGGATTGATTTTGAGGGTTGTGGCCCAAGAAAAAGGGGCAAAAAACAAGGATTTTCTGGTTTTCGGACAATAACTTGATTATAAGTGTATTGATCTCTATGAAATTGTACCACAAGGTTCCATTTCTAATAAGTTGTATAAATTGCTTATTTCTTGACCAGTTTTGATGGGGTTTAATTTAAAGTCTTGAATTCTTGTGATTTATGATGAATTCAACTGTGTTTTTGATTTTTGGCAGGTTTTCAAATTGGTTCACATTAAGGTCCAAAGGGTCCAAAATTTAACTTAAATGTAGTTCTAAGGGTTCTTTGATATTCTGAATCTAAACCTGTATTTAGATTTTTGATTTTAGACCCAGTTTTCAAGTTGGTCCAATTTGGAGTCCAAAATTAAAGTTTGTTTGAGTTTAACAAAAAATGAATATATGAGGTTCTTTGATAACCATGTATTTAGATTTTGGATTTTGGGCCCCGTTTTCAAATAGATCCACATTGAGGTCCAAAGGGTTTTAAATTAAACTTTGTTTAATTTCATAAAAAAATGAATTCTTTGGGTTTTTTGATATGCTGAACCTAACCATGTATTTAGATTTTGGATATTGGACCATAATAGGTAAATGTCCAATTTCCAATTTTTAAGTTCTTAGACCACATTTATTATGTGTCAGAAACCTATGCTGTATCAAATATTTATTCACAATCCAAATTCAGAGCTTTATCAAGCATGAATGGTGTGTCCTTACTTGTCCCAACTGTTCATGCTTCGACCTCTGCAGTCATATCAAGCTGTGCCCTGCGGAGCATTTTATTATTCATGGAATTATAATGTTAGAAGAATCCTCTAAATCTTCTTCACTGTATGACCTGATTCACAACTTCAGACTTAATAAGTTCTATTTGCACTGTACATGTATGAAAACAACAAAATACTTATGTTTAGTAGCTAAGATACATTATAAAGTTATGATAAATTATGATATAACCTGAAAATAGCAACATTGGAAATTCAATAAATCTCTAGGAGGTATATAAAGACGCATTACATCATGCCAGTTTTTCTTTCATTATTTATGTAATTATATGTAAGCTATAAAGATTGATTGATAGTTGATTGTTTGAATTCCAGTCATAAAATATTTTATGCATTTGCCAGACAAAATCTATTTTGAAGTACAGTGATTCAATTAGTAGTATAAAAAGACTATGATTTCATATCTAAATTATCTAATACTTTGATCTTGTTTTCAGTGACTGAAATTATTCTTTTATACAATTTTATATCACATTATTATTTATTTGTGCGTTGGCATTTTTTTATACCAATATAACTTGTATTCGTCAATTTCATGTTCACAAACTTTGAATCTTTAAGATCTTAATATAGCACATAAGCCTTTATTGGCACATCTCTATCCACAGAATCAAGCAATTATATACTAAGCACAATAGAAATGTATATATTTTAATTAAAGTTTGAGATACAACAATCATAAAAACAAAATATGTCCATGGGACACAAATGTCCCACTATATAATGTAGGGAGGGGAAGAATCAGTTGTTTCTGAAGAAAGGTTTGGTATTTGATTCAGCCTGATTTAAGCAGTTTAAGCCTAACAAGAGGCTCACAAGAGCCTGAATCGCTCACCTGTTATTTTTTTTGCTTAAATCTTTCATCAATGATTATTTTTGCTTTTTACCCATATGTTCCATTTTACCCATAGTGTCTATGTTTCTTGCCGTACAAGGAAATAAAATACAAAATTTATACTAGATTCATTTGTGAAGATTTTTAAAGTTAAAAAACATAAAACAACTTGTGTTAAATTGTTCTTAAAGGGCAATAACTCCTTAAGGGGTCAATTGACAATTTTGGTCATATAAACTTTTTTGTAGATCTTACTTTGCTGAACATTTTTGCTGTTTACAGTTTATCTTTATCTTCAATAATATTCAAGATAATAACCAAAAACTGCAAAATTTCCTTAAAACAACCAATTTAGTGGCAGCAACCCAACAATGGGTTGTTCGGTGTGTGTGAAAATTTCAGGGATGATAGAACTTGACCTTTTGAACATTTAACACCATGTCAGATTTGCTCTAAATGCTTTATTTTCTAAGATTTAAGCCAAAAACTGCATTTCACCCCTATGTTCTATTTTTAGCCATGGCGGCCATGTTTGTTGATGGATCAAAATTTCGGATACAATTCATAAACTAGATTCCTAAAGGAACATTCATTCAAAAGTTAAGAAGTATTAGGCACAATAGTTTCAGAAGAAAAGATTTTTAAATGTTAGCAAACTTGATGAACACATTTCGTAAAATTGTCTTTAAAGGGCAATAACTCCTTAAGGGGTCAATTGACAAATTTGGTCATTTAATTTTTCTGTAGATCTTACTTTGCTGAACATTATTGCTGTTTTACAGTTTATATCCATCTATAATAATATTCAAGATAATACATGTAACAAAAAACTGCAAAATTTCCTCAAAACTACCAATTTAGTGGCAGCAACCCAACAATGGGTTGTTCGATTTGTCTGAAAATTTCAGGGCTGATAGATCTTGACCAATTGAACAATTTTACCCCAGTCAGATTTGCTCAAAAAGCTTGAGTTTTGGAGATATAAGCCGAAAACTGCATTTGACCCCTATGTTCTATTTTTAGCCATGGCGGCCATGTTTATTGATGGATTAAAACTTCAGATACAATATAAAAACTAGATATCCTAATGAACATTTAGATGAAGTTTGAAGGTATTTGGCTTAGTAGTTTCAGAGGAGAAGATTTTTAAATATTAGCAAACTTGATGAACAAATTGTGTAAAATTGTCTTTAAAGGACAATAACTCCTTAAGGGGTCAATTGACAATTTTGGTCATATTAAACTTTTTTGTAGATCTTACTTTGCTGAACATTATTGCTGTTTACAGTTTATATCTATCTATAATAATATTCAAGATAATAAAAAAAAACTGCAAAATTTCCTTAAAACTACCAATTTAGTGGCAGCAACCCAACAATGAGTTGTTCGATTCGTCTGAAATTTCAGGGCGGATAGATCTTGACCAATTGAACAATTTTACTCCATGTCAGATTTGCTCTAAAAGCTTTAGTTTTTGAGATATAAACAAAAAACTGCATTTGACCCCTATGTTCTATTTTTAGCCATGACGGCCATGTTTGTCAATGGATCAAAACTTCGGATACAATTTATAAACTAGATACCCTAAGGAACATTTAATTAAAGTTTGAAGGTATTTGGCCCAGTAGTTTCAGAGGAGAAGATTTTTGAAATAGTTTACGACGACAGACAACGACAGACGACGACGACAGACGACGACGGACGCCAAGTGATGGCATAAGCTCACATGGGGCCCTTTGGGCCCAGGTGAGCTAAAAAACTGTACAAAAACTATTATTTGTAAGTTACTATGAATTATATTGCAACTCCATTTTAGAAACAACCATATGAAACATTTTTCAAATTATCAAGGGCACAACTCCAGAATAACAAATATGAAATCAGTCATATATATATATATATATATATATATATATATATAAACTCGCCATGTGTTTAGTAAACATAAAAATATGAAATCATTCATATATATATGTTGTGTACAAGTTATCATTTTGTACAAATTATAATTTGTACAAAATAATTATAAAAATTATAATGTGTATGTTAACTTTGTACAAATTGTAATTTGTCCAAAACATGCTTGTACAAATTACAATTTGTACAAAATTTGACTATAATTCACTTATAATTTGTACAAAGGATATATGATAATTTAATATAATAGAAAAGATGGCCTTTTATGTTTCTTTAACAGTAATAAATTTTAATTGCTTTGAGGAAACGAAAGTGGATGGACATATCAAATTGTCAAAAGACAGAGTGTAAGGCTTATAAAACGAAACGAAAATTATCGGGCCTTGCAGTGGTGGATAATATCATTAAACCTGTTCCTCAGTATGATACTGCTCCAACTAACCATCAAAATATCTTGACCGTTATTGTTGAATCTGAAGATTTTGGGTACCGCAGTGGAACAGCTGTAGTCATTTGAACAGGATATTTGTCTAGAAATCAAATTGAAGATGTTAAAGACACATGTTTATTCGCAGCACCGGTTTCTGAGTTTCAACTTTTGCTACTTGAATTCAAAGCAGTTAAAAAGCCTTTAAAAGCTAGTGGTCAGGGGTTTCTTTCATGTAAATGCAAATGGGGGTGCAGCACTTCTAAATGTCAATGTAAAAAGCAAAAGATGTTGTTCAATTTCCGATGCCATAATTCACTCATGCACATGCTCAAACAAATGATACAGAACTATTCTCGTACTTTGTAAATAAGGTTTATTGTGTGGTCATTAAAAAAAGATTCTATAGTGTGTATCCATGATTTTTTTTAACCAATCCATATCATAAATCATTGTATAAGTTATAAGTGAATTTTAGTCAAATTTTGTACAAATTGTAATTTGTACAAGCACTTTTTGGACAAATTACAATTTGTACAAAGTCAAAATACAAATTATGATCTGTACAATTTTTTTTGTACAAAATGATAACTTGTACACAACATATGTTAACTTACCATGTGTTTAGTAAACATAAAAAAACATTCCTTTGATGCTAATGAAGTTTTTGTACCAAAACCAAAATATAACAGTTATTTTCTCATTTATCAAGGGGCATAATTCTCAACAACAAAAATGAAATCAGTCAAATTCTAACTGGATCAGTGTTAAGAGGTATATATATATATATGGAAGTTTTTAAAGACCTTGACTGGCTCTTGTTAAGAGGTTCTTAAGGTAGATTTACTGTATACCCCCATCTTTGATTGTACAATAGCAGTACACAATTGGTCTAGTTCTTTGCCTAAATCTGCAAATTTTGAGACAGACTTGCAATTTAATTGTGAGACTGTTTATTTGTATAAAGAAAAATAAGTGATTTAATGCATTATCCAAAATTTTTTAAATAAATACCAAATAATTGTATTTTTAGAATCAATTTTTCAATTAAGCCAAATAAGGGGAGATAATTTTATAGTAAAAATTCATACTGAAATGATAGTGAAATTTTCATTTTTTACTTGTAGCAAGAAAACAAGTTTGGTGACACCATTTTTTCTCTTTGTTTTTTTAAAGCATATTATAAAACCTATCTTCTCATATTTTATTTCAAAATTCTGTCTCATAGATTTATTTTTATTCACAAAAATGAGTTTTTTCATGAACAATCTATGCAAATTTGGGCAATATTGCACGACTTGTAGCTTAAAAAATAGCATGGTGACCCTTACTTTTTATCATATATTTGAAAAAAACATAGTAAAATCTTCATTTTAGCAAAGTATAAGAAAATTCTATCTGAGGAAATATATACTGATGATCAACCTTAACAATATTGCCAACTTTAAAATGATTTGATGGAGGCTTAGTTTTTTTGGATGCAAGGCTCGTCTTGCACGACCTGATTCTTTACTTTAAGAGGTGAGGAATAGAAAGGGTAAAGGGAGACCTGGAGAAAGGAGAGCAGAAGAAGGATACAAATAGTAAAATAAGAAAAACAAAACACTAAAGATGAATAAGTTGATGAATGTTTGTATGAATCATCAAAATCTTCTTTAAAGAAAAAAACAAGCTTGTTTCAAATCATAAACCATGAAGACTAAACTGGCTAGTTTTTTTTTGAAATAATTGCAGTCATTTGCTTGCTGGAAAAGTTTATACTTTAGATTGTACCATTTACAACAGATTTACTAATTCATTAAAAACTGGCAGCTAAACTATTAAAGAATGAATACTTGCTGCGGTTAAACATGAGGCTTTATCATGCAAAAGGACAAAGGAGTAAGAAATAAGGAAGTCAAGACATTTAATTGATTTTTAATAAAAGGTGATTTATTTTTATAAAAATACCTGTCTGGATGTTGGTTTGTAAGGGGGTAGTTAAATGCCTGTAACATGCCATCACATTTCAAATAAAAAAAGTTAGAATATGTGGATGATGTAGCAGTTGATTGTTGCAGTTTGCTACAGTGACCAATGTTTTTATAATTCCTGGTAAATCTTTTTTTTCCTCTCCTCTGACATTTCATTCCCCATCTTTACCAAACTTGGTATGTACTATGTGGAACAGTAGAAGATTCAGGTTGGATGTAGAGGGTATATCCTCCCTATTTTGTAGGTTACTTATCAGTTTGATATAGTTTTGATCGGATGAAAAACATGTCACTCTTTGATTCTGATTAATTTTCAAAAATGTTGTTTCAAAGTACAAGTGCACAGAATTTGCAAAAAATGGTTGTACTGAGTATTATATTACCTCTGGTATTCTGGTTAATTTGAAACTTTACATGATTGATGATTCGTCAACCTCTACAATCCTTATTTAAGGTAAGAAGATGGAAAACATAGGGTCAATGGTGACACATAGTTCCCATTGAAATTATATGGTAGTCATTTTATACAAATGATTGTCATTTGAAAACTGGCCAAAGAAAAACATTATATTGCAGATATTGAAGATTGATCAGATGTTGGTTAACTCTTGTTTACAATTTAAAAATAATGTTCACAAGGTAAGCAACTTTGTATCATGAAGTATCTCCAGTGTTTTATTGGAAAACAACACAAAGAAGGGAGGCGAGGTTTTGTAAGAAAAGAGAAGAGGGGAGAGAGAAAGAAAAAGAGTTGGAGAATAGAAAATTCGTAAGGGTTCCGCGGAACCCAGTGTCTCGCCTACTTTTGCTGTTAATCGCAGGCTCAACAAAAATGAGGAAAAAAATAAATAAAAATATTCCTCTCTATACTATCTTTTGATTGTTAGTAGCTTCTGTCCAAGTTTGGTAAAAATCCAGGATAGTTTATAAATCTAATAAATGTTTTAAAAACTTAAACTGCAGACTGTATGTAATGTTAACTGGAAGAAAAACAAAGTCCATTTATAAGTAAAATACGGAAAAAATCAAACAAAATTTTAACAAAATTTCCTTCTAGATACTAGCTTTTAATCATAAACAAGCTTCTGTCCAAGTTTGGTACAAATCCAGGATAGTTTAAGAAAGTTGTTAAAATTTTAAAAACTTTAACCACTGAGTGAATGTAATGTTAACTGGCAGAAAAACTAAGTCCATTTATAAGTAAAATACGGAAAAAATGGATTTTTTTTTTTACAAAATTTACTTCTGGATACTATCTTATGATCATAAACAAGCTTCTTTCCATGTTTGGTAAAAATCCAGGATAGTTTAAGAAAGTTATTAAAATTTCAAAAACTTCAACCACAGAGTGAATGTAATGTTTCTTGGCAGAAAAACTAAGTCCATTTATAAGTAAAATACGGAAAAAATGGATTTTTTTTTTTACAAAATTTACTTCTGGATACTATCTTATGATCATAAACAAGCTTCTTTCCAAGTTTGGTAGAAATCCAGGATAGTTTAAGAAAGTTATTAAAATTTCAAAAACTTTAACCACAGAGTGAATGTAATGTTTCTTGGCAGAAAAACTAAGTCCATTTATAAGTAAAATACGGAAAAAATGGAATTTTTTTTTACAAAATTTACTTTTGAATATTATCTTATGATCATAAACAAGCTTCTGTCAAAGTTTGGTAGAAATCCTGGATAGTTTAAGAAAGTTATTAAAATTTCAAAAACTTTAACCACAGAGTGAATATTTGTGGACGCCGCCGACGACGACGCCGACGGAATGTAGGATCGCTATGTCTCGCTTTTTCGACAAAAGTCGAAGGCTCGACAAAAAGGGGGTGGGAGGAGAAGAGAACCCTCTTCCATCACCTCAGAAATCATAAGGTATGCTGTAAAGAGTTAGATATCTAGAAACAACCTCAATGAACTCTTTCATCCTTATGGAACTGTACTGAAATAAACTAAGCATGTCCTTTGTCATACTTCAAAGTTAAGGATTCCAAACATTGCACTAAATGTACTAGATATCATTTTAAGTGTCTCTGTCTGACTAATTATATTTTGACAGTACTGTTTATTAGCTTCTAATTCATTAGATAATCTGTTTTCATACATCTGAAAAATACAAAATAAATTTAATTGATACTGAGTGAGATAATAATTCTGTAGCTATTTCTTTTTTAAAATTTTTTTGTTAATTCCTGAATCATGCATTCTGTTCAAATAAATTGGACCTCTTGGTATCCAAGTTTTTTAAACATCACTGGTCACTATGGACTATCGGTCCTAAAAAGAACCATTTCCTTTTAACACTTGTATGATAAAACATTTTGTATAACATATGTTATTCTTATAAAACTTTATTACTTCTTCAGATGATAGTGAACTTAAAGACAGTTTTTGGCAGTTCTTTTTGGACCCTTTTGATTTAAATGCTGTAAGGCAATACGAAATCAATACCTTCATTTGTTGGATCTTCTGCATGTTGTTAAAGTTGTCAAGAAAAAAGATTAAAACCCATGTTTTGCTGGCCAGCAGTTTTGTCCTTCCTAATTTAAGTAAGCCAAATACACAATCTTATCTAATTACCAGTCTTGTTCTAAATTTGTGCATGAGAATCTTATCAATTTCAGTGTTGATATCTGGTAATTTTCAAATCAAAATCTAGACTTTCTGGTCATTGTTTTACAGCAGCATCAACAGTTTTAATCTTGTATGAAATTCAAATGTTCAAAAGGGGGCATTCCAAATTTTATTGCTGATTGTTAATCAGTTAGATATTTAATTTGTTTTTTTTAATAATACTTTTTAATCTTTTATTTTCTGTCAGTTTCATCAAAAAGTTGATCGTCTTTGTTTCTTTCTAAACATACACAGGACTTTAGGAAAAACACTTTGAAAATGAAACAAGTTTCCATCAATACGCCAGTTCAGAGATACGGTAGTTAGTTGAATCATGTGACTTCCATCACCACGTGACCAAAATGTAGGCATCGTCACTTCCAACACATGTTGAGCGAACGGATGAAAAAGTTTGATGCTACACTGCACAAAAATATTAGGGAAATAGCCTATGGATCAAATTTCAATTAAATGATTTATCACCCTGATAGAATCATAGAAAAGACAAATTGAACACCCACCCATAACAGAACTTTGAAAGTGACATACATGGAATTCTGTTGTGTTATGTTCTAAAAAGGTTTTTGTAACTGACCATCCATACTGTATTCCTGACAATAGTACATGTTTGATTTGACTTCACATCTTCAAGATATGATATATATTTTGAATGTCAGATAAAAAGAAAAAGGTGATGACAATAATCCACATGTCCATTTGTGCAATGTAAGGTAAAAAGAGTCTCCCTACCACAATTTAAAAAGAATGAGAAACATAAGATTCCCTATGTATGACCTTGATATCTGTATAGTTTGACTGAATGCATTTTTTCCTTTATTTTAATTAGTAAACCCTCAAAAATGAGCAATCCTTACCTTAAATTCTTCAATTTGTTTATACAGAGAGGAATTTTCTTCTCTTGCTAATTTAACAGTATGTCTTAACCTAGATATCTCTATTTCTCGCTCTACAAAGAAGAAAAAAGTATATGTTTATTGATTTTAGTTGAATATGTGGTATATTTCAATCATATTTTATACTAAAATGAGGAATTTGTTAAAAACACAGAAAAAATTCAAATTTTAAGATGTATGTTCTATATGTACTCTTTTTCTAGCTTAAAATTCCAAATTAAGATTTAATGGCCATTATCATAATGTTTCATAGTTAAACAGCATATTTTGTTCTGTACAGGATTATGAAATAAGTAATAACTGATGTTATATTTCCTCTACTAATCACAACAAGAGGCTGTCAGAGTGACAGCAAACAGGATTTCCTGCAGAGGTCAAACCCTGAACAGTTCAGCAAGTATGGACACTACATTTAAGTTTAATTTGGATTGTGATTGAATATTTGACACAGCATAGGTTTGAGACACAAAATAAATGTGGTCAAAGAACTAAAAAAATCGAATCTGGACATTTACCTATTATGGTCCAATATCCAAAATTAAGTACACTGTTAGAATCAGCATATCAAAGAACCCCAAGAATTCATTTTTTGGATGAAATCAAACAAAAGTTTAATTTAGGACCCTTTGGACCTCAATGTGGACCAATTTGATAAAGGAGCCCAAAATCCAAAATCTCTACATACATGGTTAGATTCAGCATTTCAAAGAACCCCATCAATTCATTTTTTGTTGAAATCAAACAAAGTTTAATTTTGGACCCTGATTTGGACCAACTTGAAAACTGGGCCCAAAAATCCAATATTTAAATACAGGTTTAGATTCAACATTTGAAAAAAACCCTATATATATTTAATTTATGTTCAAATGAAACACAGTTTAATTTTTTCCATATACTTATTAATTTTCTGTTCAAAGGGAAATAACTCAAACTGAATAAATGATATACAAATAGTTCTCTAAAATTTGATTTAACCACTAAAAAAAAGTTCTCTAAAATAAGATATGATGTTATATCTATTTTCAAATTAAAATCAATAAAATTAGATATGATTTAACAACCAAAACATTGTTAGAATCAGCATATCAAAGAACCCCAAGAATTCAATGTTTGATGAAATTAAACAAAATTTTAATTTAGGACACTTTGGACCTCAATGTGGTATTATCAAATTAATAATGAAAATAAATATAGGTTTAGATTCAGCATTTCAAAGAACCCTATATATATTCAATTTATGTTGAAATGAAACACACAGTTTAATTCTGGACCCTGAATTGGACCAACTTGAAAACTGGGCCCAAAATAATTAAGAAAATTAGTTAATACAGAAAAACAAACAAACCTACCACAAAATTCTTCAAACAATTTACCAAAGAAAAGAAATAACAAGAGGCTGTCAGAGAGACAGCAAACCGGATTTTCCTGCAGAGGTCGAACCCTGAACAGTTGAGCAAGTATGGACACTACATTTAAATTTAAAACAGCTCTGAATTTGGATTGTGATTGAATATTTGACACATCATAGGTTTGTGACACAAAATGAATGTGGTCAAAGAACTGATATATTTGAAATTGGACATTTAAATACCTATTATGGTCCAATATCCAAAATCTAAGTACATATTAGAATCAGCATATCAAAGAACCCCATGAATAAAATTTTTGATGAAATCAGACAAAAGTTTAATCTAGGACCCTTTGGACCTCAATGTGGACCAATTTGATAAAGGAGCCCACAATCCAAAATTTCTCAATACATGGTTAGATTCAGCATTTCAAAGAACCCCATAAATTCAATTTTTGTTGAATCAAACAAAGTTTAATTTTGGACCCTGATTTGGACCAACTTGAAAACTGGGCCTAAAAATCTAGTTTAGATTCAGCATTTGAAAGAACCATATATATATTTAATTTATGTTGAAATGAAACACAGGTTAATTTTATCCATAATATTTTCTGTGCAAATGGAAATAACTCCAACTGGATAAATAGTTCTCTAAAATAAGATATGATGCAACTTTTCAAATTATAATCAATAATATAATAACAACAACCAGTGATGACTAAGTTCTCTAAAATTAGATATGATTTAACACTCAAACATTGTTAGAATCAGCATATCAAAGAACCAAAGAATTCAATTTTTGATGAAATTAAACAAAAGTTTAATTTAGGACCCTTTGGACCTCAATGTGGTATTATCTTAATAATAATGAAAAGCTCAACCGTTTACAAGTTCTTAAACAGGAGGGGGTGGGGGTGATCCAAGGGGACTCGCCTTTTATTTCATTTGATTTGTTTTATTGTCCCATACAAGAATATATATGGTTTTGGGGTGGGGATCTTGACCATTTACAAGTTTTCAAAAAAAAGGGGGGTGGGGGTGACCCCCCTGGACTTCCCCTATATTTCATTTGATTTGTTTTATTGTCCCATACAAGAATATATATGGTTTAGGGGTAAAGATCTCGACCATTTACAAGTTCTCAAACAGAAGGGGGGTGGGGGTGACCCCAGGGGACTCGCCTTATATTTCATTTGATTTGTTTTATTGTCCCATACAAGAATATATATGGTTTCGGGGTGGGGATCTTGACCTTTTACAAGTTTTCAAAAAAAAGCGGGGTGGGGGTTACCCAGGGGACTTCCCCTCAATTTCATTTGATTTGTTTTATTGTCCCATTTAAGAACATATATGGTTTAGGGGTGGGGATCTCAACCGTTTACAAGTTATCAAAAAGAAAAGGAGGTGGGGGGGGGGGGGGGGGGGGGGGGTTACCCCCATGGACTTCCCCTATATTTTCATTTTGTCCCATACAAGAATATATATGGTTTAGGGGTGGGGATCTCAAACGTTTACAAGTTCTCAAACAGGAGGGGGTTGGGGTGACCCGAGGGGACTCGCCTTTTACTTCATTTGATTAGTTTTATTGTCCCATACAAGAATATATATGGTTTCAGGGTGGGGATCTTGACCATTTACAAGTTTTCAAAAAGAAGGGGGGTGGGGGTTACCCCAGGGGACTTCCCCTCAATTTCATTTGATTTGTTTTATTGTCCCATTCAAGAATATATATGGTTTAGGGGTGGGGATCTCAACCATTTACAAGTTATCAAAAAGAAGGGGGTGGGGGTTACCCCCATTGACTTCCCCTATATTTCATTTGATTTGTTTTATTGTCCCATACAAGAATATATGGTTTAGGGGTGGGGATCTTGACCGTTTACAAGTTTTCAAAAAGAAGGGGGGTGGGGGTGACCCCCCTGGACTTCCCCTATATTTCATTTGATTAGTGTTATTGTCCCATACAAGAATATATATGGTTTAGGGGTGGGGATCTCAACCGTTTACAAGTTCTCAAACAGGATGGGGTGGGGGTGACCCCAGGGGACTTGCCTTCTATTTCATTTGATTTGTTTTATTGTCCAATACAAGAATATATATGGTTTCAGTGTGGGGATCTTGACCGTTTACAAGTTTTCAAAAAGAAGGGGGGTGGGGATGGTCCTGGGGACTCCCCAAATATTTCATTTGATTTGTTTTATTGTCCCATACAAGAATATATATGGTTTAGGGGTGGGGATCTCGACCGTTTACAAGATAAAAGCACATTCTCAAATTGAAAGGGGGGGGGGGGGGGGGGAGGGGGTAAGAATATATATGGTTTAGGGAGACTTAATTATCTACAAAATGTCTAATTATGAACAGTAAATTTCAAACTTCATTTATACAGTCCTACTAGTAAATTTCAAACTTTATTTATACAGTCCTACATATCTTATCAGGAAACAGAAATTTTTCAAATAAATCGGTCACTCCAATGATTATCATATGCTAAGATATAACCCAGATCTAATTAATAATTAATAATGTAATAATCTTCAAAATGTCTAATAATATAGCTTATAATCATCACCACTTAGGAAATATAACACACACAAACTGATTAATTTTCCCAGGGGACCTGCCCTTTATTTCATATGATTTTTTTTTTTTGTCCCATACAAGGATATATATGGTTTAGGGGCGAGGATCTCAACCATTTACAAGTTCTTAAACAGGAAGAAGGTGGGAATGACCCAAAGGAACTCACCTTTTTTTTCATTTCATTTGTTTTATTGTAACATACAAGAATATATATGGTTTCGCAGTGGGGATCTTGACCATTTACAAGTTTTCAAAACTAGAGGCTCTCAAGAGCCTGTGTTGCTCACCTGACTCTACTTTGGTTTTAAAAATCATGTAAAGATAGATAAAAATCATAACAGATACCCAAATAATGATTGAGGCCAAATTTTTATTAATATTGGTCCCGTTATTTAATAAAATATCCTGGTGGCCATCTTGAAAAGTAAATCGGCAACAAAGTAGCGACACTTGGTCAGCACTTCATAAGGAACATTCATGCCATGTTTGGTTTCATTCCATTCAGTGGTACTCTAAAAGAAGACATTTGTATGTATTTCCCATAGGGTCCTATGTTAAACTAAGCCCCCTCCCCCCCCTAGCGGCCATCTTGGATGATGGATCGACTGCAAAGTAACAACACTTGGTCAGCAACTCATAAGGAACATTCATGCCATGTTTGGTTCAATTCCATTCAGTGGTTCTCTAAAAGAAGACAATTGTATGTATTTCCCATAGGGTCCTATGTTAAACTTAGTCCCCCGCTGTCGGCCATCTTGGATGATGGATCAGCTACAAAGTAACAACACTTGGTCAGCATCTCATAAGGAAGATTCATGCCATGTTTGGTTTCATTCCATTCAGTGGTTCTCTAAAAGATGACATTTGTATGTATTTCCCATAGGTCCTTTGTTAAACTAAGTCCCCTGCTGTCGGCCATCTTGGATGATGGACTGACTGCAAAGTAACAACACTTGGTCAGTACCTCATAAGGAACATTCATGCCATGTTTGGTTTCATTCCATTCAGTGGTTCGCTAAGAGAAGACATTTGTATGTATTTCCCATAGGTCCTTTGTTAAACTAAGTCCCCTGCTGTCGGCCATCTTGGATGATGGACCAACTGCAAAGTAACAACACTTGG